CTGGCGCGGCTGCGCCGTGGTCATGTCTGCGGGCGCCATCCTCAACTCCTCCTTGGGGGAGGAGATAGGTGGGTGTCATCTTGGTGGCCCTGCCTGGGCCGGGGCATCCCTAGGGCTTGTCCTTCCGACGCACACCTCCCGTGGGGGCAGCTGGGGACCCCACCTGGGTATTGTGGCCTTGCCCGGGAATCTCCTGGTGCTGTCTCCTGGCTGGCCCAGTCTGCCCGGGAGCCCAGGGAAGGTCTCCTTGGGGGAATCTGAGAGCTGGGGCTCAGGGGTCCTCGGGAGCAGGAGAGGCAGTCTCCCCATAGCTGGGGCCAGTGGGGAGTGGAAAGCAGGCCCCGCCCGGGGCCAGTCCGGGTCTGGTCTCAGACTTTATTGCCCACGGGAACCATGGTCTGCCTGCATGAGCTCCCCCGCCAGCTGCGAAGGCCTGGTGGCCCTACCGTGTGGGGAGGCTCGGAGGGGGCCGGAAGGAGGTGCAAGGAGGCAGGAGAGAACGCGTCGCATCAGCTCGGGAGAGAAGGGTGCATGAAGGCAGGTTGTGCTTTGCAGCGACTAAAGCGTCCTTTGGGCCCCTAGGAGCCTGGGCTGCAGTTGAGGGCATACATGGTCTGGCCTCCGGACAGCTGGCAGTTCAGACCACCCAGGGGACCTCCCTGAAGACGGCCGTGTTAACGGCTCCCCCTCATGTCGGACTCGGGAGCCCTGGCGCACGTCCGCTGCCCTTGCTGGCGGGTTGGGGCTCCGAACAGAAGCAGAGCAGGACACAGGCGTCTTCTCGCTCCAGCCGCTCGCGCAGTGGGGGAGCGCGGGGGCTGAGAGCTCTGAGACCCACCGGGCAGGCGGCCCGTGCCAACTCCCGCAGGGTTTCTGTGTGGCAGTCCGGACACAGACTGGCTTCTCCCGCAGGAAACGTTGGTATTTGTTCTTACGGCCTTGATCCGCTGGGATGAGGCCCACTCGGAGGTAACTGCTTTGTTCAAGTGTGCAGATTTAAATGTTAGCCACAGGCCTCTGTGGCGAGCTGGACCGGCACTGGACCAAACCGGGTACCCCAGCCTAGCCAAGCTGACATAGCCCTCACTGTCACTGTCACCTCCCAGCTTTCAAGGGGGTATCAGTTCTAATAAGTACCATTTGGTTGAAAGGGAGGGAGAGGTGGAAGGACCTCCCTCCGCACAGTCTGGGCTCTGAACTGTCCGCCCCATCCTCTCCCATCACGCTCATTTCCGCCCCTGCTCTTGCTCCTTGCCAGAGAGCCCTAGTCACCTGTGCTGTCACTGCTCTCCCTCAGCAGTGCTGGGTCCCTGTGCTCCTGGGGCTCTATGCTGATCCCACGGCTGCAGCTGCCAGCCAGGCTCCTGCGCTCTGTATTCACTGATTTCACAGCCGCCATCAGGCCCTGCCAGGCTGGGTGCCTGCGAGCAAATGTCACTTGGGCCACAGCCTCATCCTCCAGTCCAGACCGAGCACAGCCTCGTCCCATGAAGTCTCACGGTCGACAGTATCAGGTCCTAGTCTGCCAGGGGCATTCGAGGGCCAACGCGCCCTCCTTCCCCAGGAACAACCCTCGGTCTGCCTTCTTTTAAGCAGATCCATCAGTTATTCTGTGTCCTTCAAGCGTGTCTGGTGTCACAGTGTCAGCTTGGTATGGGGTAGCCCTGCGGTAAGCTTCACCACCCGGACTTCAGCACGGATGTTCCTGGGCATGAGGCTGAATGGGAAATAGCTGCAAAGTTTACAAGAACAAAAACAAGACAAGTCTGAGCTTGAGGATTGGGGTCCTTGTGTCCCCGTGCTGACATAATAGCGGCTCATAATGACACCGTCCATGTGTCACATAAGCTCGTAGCCAAAGCCAGAGCAGAACAGCCTGCGATTTACTGAGAAAGCCATGGCTTAGAGGTCCCCAGGGTGGAATAACCACACAGTTCTTGCTCATTTCTGAGGACCAATATTAATAATGCAGAGAAGGAACTTAAGTACGCTTTGAAGCAGGCAGCCACTCACTTCGGCTTTGTTTTGTTTTAAACACCTTTGCATCTCTGCATTGTAGATGCATATTTAAATTGCTCTTGCACATCAAGGCGAATTCCCTTGCTTTTTATTTCTGCATAATTATCTCTGACTATAGTTTTCAACTCTGTTTGGAATTTGGAATAGAGTGTGAAAAACACTGGGAATTTCATGTTTCCGGGGAACATGAAATGCCGGAGTTATATCTTCGTTAGTTTCTAGTAATCAAATTTAATTTATGTTGAGCTCAAGTACACGAGGCTTTAAGAATAGAATTATAGAGTCACAGCTGAAGAACAGGCATGGAACTATTTTCTTTTGATTCTTGTTTTTTATTTTACCTAAATTTCTTTGAATCAGACTTCCTGCGCTTCATTTTAAGAATGCTCTACCATAACACAATTCGGTTTGTGAAAACAAAAAGGCTTTAGCCTTTTTAGCGTCCGCACTCTGCACATCCAGTGCTGACCCGTCTCTCCCTGCTCACCTGAATGTCTGTGGGCAAACCCATGTCCTTATTGTTCTTTTTAAACTTTAGTTATTTCTGTATTTTTTTATTTTAATTTGACTAGACAGGGACAGAGCAAGGGACGGGGGAGTGAGAAAGCAAGCCATCAGGTCCCGGACTTGAACCGTGGTTGGTCATGTGGGAGTTCCACCACGCTACCTGCTAGCCCCAAGCCCATGTCCTTGTTAATGGCATTCATAACAAAAAATTCATGCAGCAGATTCCTCCAGGCAACTTGGGATATTGGGACAGGCTGTAGCTAATTCTTGAGCGCCCCTACCTATCTGCTTCAGAACTGGCTAAGGGAATATCAAAAGACTTGCGAAAGATCATGATCTTAAGAAAAATTGAGAGCAGGGCTCGAAAGTATCCTAAATGGTCTGTTTTTGCCAGCCCTGCCTTGACTCTGCCTGGAGCACCCTAGGGCTGATGCACCTGCATGCTCAGCACCGCCCACTCCAGGTGGGAGACCTGAATCCTTCCCCTCAGGCTGACCTGTTGGCTGCCCTTTAGCGCTCCCTGGTGTTTGTCCTGCTGGCATTGCAGTCTTCCCTACCCCTCCGTTAGACTGAGTCACACCAAGTAATTGTTTATGGTTAGAAAGATGTAGCAGTTGTAAACACTTTCACTTTGAATATGTTATTGAAAAGCAGGATGAACTGTTTTGGAAACATGGAACATTCTTTCCTGGAGTCATAAGATGATCTGTTTTCACCCATGCATATAAGCTGTGGTACTTTGCTAGTGAGGAGAACTGTCTACTCTGAACTGACAGGAACAGCCTTGATGTGAGAATCCAAGATCTGTTACTAGGAACTCACTGCTGTTGTTTTTGTTTTAATTCTTTATTTTATTTAGAAGAGCACATATTACTTTAACAATAAAAAAAAAATCAATGTCAAATAAATTCAAGTATCTAAGGATACTGAAAAAGCAAAGCCTAAAAATAGGAACTGCTAATCAGTCCTCCTGTATGTTTATGCATCAGTTGTCAATTAAAACTTTTTTTTAATGAAAAGAAGTTTATTTCTATTTTAAAATCATAATAGTAGTTTTACATGTTTTATAGAATATCGTATGATGCTTTGATACATGTAAACAAATTGGAGCAATTAGCGTATCTTCCACTTCCAACATTGATCATTTCTTTGTGCTGTGGTGAAACCATTTAAGATCCTTTCTTGTAGCTTATTTGTTATACTGATTTTCATTCCTTTAAATATACAGCCAGTAGTGGAACTGATAAATCATTACGTTCCTGCCGTCAGTGTAGATGCATCCCCCTTTTACACAACCTCACCAACACTTGCTATTTCTTATCTTTTCAATTACAGTCATTCTAACTGGGGTAAGATGATACCTCATTATGATATTGATTTGCAGTCCCCTGATAATTAGTATTGTTGAGCATTTTTTTCCAACTGCTGACCATTATTGTGTCTTCTTCTGAAACATGTCTGTTCAAGTCTTTTGCCCAATTTTCAACTAGACTATTTGGTTTTTGTCTTTTTTTTCTTTTTTGCTATTTGTTTGAGTCTCTTATATGTTTTAGATAGTAATCCCTTGCTGGATGCAGTTTCCAATTATTTTCTCTCATTACATAGGTTGTCTCTTAACTCTGTTGATGGTTGAAACTTAAGTTCTAAGTGGGAAGGAGATGGGACACAGGGAAGGGGATCAGTAGAAGGGACACACAAAACTTCTTGAACTTGATGAAAGAGCTTGGGATTTGGCATAACCCATTACCTTATCATTAAAGGAGCAAGAAAGCAATTCATGTAGTCATTCAAAGAGCATTAATTATTTACTGACCACCAACTTTCTTCCAGGTCCTATGCTAGACACAAAGATGAATAAGACACAGACCC